ATACTATACTATACTATACTATACTATAATAAACTGTACTGTGCTTTACTATACTATACTGTGCTGTACTATAATAAACTAAAATATTATGTTCTGTTCTGTAACATACTAAACTAAACTATAATACACTGGCATTTATTTTATTTTTATTTATTTATTTATTGTGTTTCAGTGCTGTCCAATTTCTACTTTGTCAAGACTAATGAGCTCCTACTCCCTCATTCCCTAAAAAAATAAGTTAAATGCACTGAGGACAAAATTCTTCTGATTATGGCTACACATTTGTACAAACAGAAGTGCTTAGATAAAATAAAATGGCAAGAAATACAAGTCTACTAACCCTAGTAGTCCACAAATATTCCCTTACAAATTTCTGTGCATTGGTTTGGTACATTATGAACATTTTGGCTGGTATTTAACCGCTTAAACGCTAAAAGGCACGGCATGCAGAAGAATGCAGAAGCCTGCTCTGTGTTGTTTGACGTTTTGACAAGTCAGTGATAAGACACGATACACAAGTGTGTGAATGTGTGTGTGTGTGTGTGTGTTTCTGTCACTTCTATAAACAAAAGTTCAACTTTTTTCTTTCTCAGACTTTTAGCAGAATGTTTTCCCGTTGATGCTGTGCTTTATCCTGGTTATGATCCTGCCTTGGCATAGTATCCGTCTGCTAAAACAAACCAAAAGATCAGGATTGTCTGCAGTGACCTGCGGTTGTTTGAGGATGTCTCGGCCGTTGACGCTATGCATGTTATTTGCCACATTCAGCTACATCTTTGCATCTACAGAAGTTTGCACCAATTCTTTCTTACCAGGAGCAAAAGGTAGGCCAGAGCACAAATCTGATTCAGCCATTCAAAATGCAGACATCCTATTTAAAAAGTTGTTTTTTTTTCTGAGATCATAGTAACTGTGTGTGAGAGTATAAAACTGATTGAGGATATACCCCCAGTAGATTTTAGAGTCTCCAGAGCTAATGATGAAGCCACACAGTATTAAATACCCAGGAGTTTACAAGCAAGCTGTCTGCTTAGCAGTCCTCTGGAAGGGAATACCTCCCTGTGTGTGATTTTCATTTTACAACATCCAGTAGTTGTCTTCCCTGCTGATTCAGACAGACAGACCTCATAAAATAGAAAGTTGAGCTATGCTTCGTTTTCTTTTCAGCTCTTTTAACACAAGTTAGAAACACAGAGGGTTCTGGCTCTAATAAAAGCAGCAGGATGGTTGTGAAGCAACTGGTACGCTGGGGGAAAAAATTAAAATAAATCTTATCTGTTTTTTAATGAAGTGGAAGTACGAATTAAAAAAAACTAGGTGACTGGTAGCTTCAGAGACACGTTTATGGCCTTCTAGTGAAGTTTATGTCTCAGCCGGAAAGTCCCATTGTGTTGGTGTGTGTATTTAGACAGCTGCCACTAGACTGGACTGATTATTTGTTCAAGACTCATCCAGATAGTACCGACCACAGAGTCCACCTCGGAGCAAATATTTCGGTGGGCGTCGGTTGTTCATTTTTCTCTGTTCCATAAAACCCCAAAAATGCTTTATTTTTTTTACATTTGACATGAAGGATCACAACTTCTTGTGGCACCTTAAGTACTTAAATGAGGCATTTTAGTAAGTTTATGGTCTTGGTAGAGTAATTCAAAGAAAGATGGAATGTGATCCAGACGATGTTGCCTGAAAAGTGCAGTTAGCTTGTTCTAAAACTTGATCTATGGAAAATAAATGATTACTTTGCTGCCAAATTTTCTGTTCAAGCGTGCAGGATGGGAATTGTTTTGACAGCAGCAGCAAAAAGGACTGCTTTGATACATTAAGAGACGTTTTAACGTCTCTTATCAAGAATTTAACAGTCATTCGCCAAAAAGCATTTTTTCCTACACCTCAAGTTTAAGGTTTAAACTTTGAAAAGTATGTTATGTTGTTATTACAATTGTGCGCTGGTTCTAAAAAAAGGCCATTGGTTTAGCAGAAAATGCAAAAGGGAAGTTCAAATGTCAGTAAAACGCTGAGAAAAACTTCCATGCAGTTTTCTTTTACTTACAATCCAAACTGGCAATTGGAACGCAAACAATGTATGTTCACCTGCAGATTTGTGTTGAAACTGTATTGTGATTCTGATGGTTTTGATAGCTGAATGTTTGCCATTTTTAACAACTTTACTGAAACTGACAGAGAGGAGATCAGTGTGAAAGATGGAAATTTATGACAAACATTTAAGCCGGATACTGAAATGATGAAAATCAAAAATACCAACAGGAAATTAAAACAATCTAAACATGTAAGACTTCCGAGATATTTTCTGCAATTCTTAGTGGTATTTTCCAGTCATAAAAAGCCCAAAGCAGCTCTTTAGAGGTTTCTGTGGAAAGGTTATTAATGACTGAATACCTCACTTGTATAGCTCTTTGAACAACCTCATTTTGAAGAAATCCATCTAGCCGTTTTATGCCTGTCTTTCTAGAGTCTCCTGGGTTTCACCCCAGAGTCTCCTCCCTGTTGAACATAACAGGAATACATCCCCAAGGAGGCATCGTGGGGGTATCCTTACCAGATGTCCGAACCACCTCAACTGGCTCATCTCAAAATTGGAGGAGCAGTGGCTCTTGTCCACGTCTCTTTGGAAAACAACACTCAAAGGAAGAGCCCAGCTACCCTGTGGAGAAAACTCACTTTGTATGTGAGAGTTTGATCTTTCAGTCACTACACACAGTTTGTGACCATATGTGAAGGTAGAAACAGAGCCCGACCTGGAAACAAAGCTTTGCTTTACAGCTCAGCTCCCTATTCACTACAGTGGACTGATATAGAGTATGTAATCCCACAGAAGCTGTGCCAATCCGTCTGTCGATCTCACTTTCTATTCTTGCCTCACGTGTGAACAAAACTCTGACATACTTGAACTCCACCACCTCATTCCAAACCTGTCCACCCTATTTTGACTAAGGAGCATGGTCTCACATTTGGCAGTGTTGATTATCCCAGCTGCTTCACACTCGGCTGTGATCCGCTCCAGTGAGAACTGAAGATCATGGCACACTGACGCCAACAGGCTCACATCATTCCCAGTAAGCAGAGACAGAATCCTAAAGTCACTGAACCACTTTTCCCCTACGAACTGGTGAAAACAGGCATTCCAAAGTTTGCAAAGTTCAAATTTCACCCTGAACGGGTCTTATTGCTGGCAATGCAAACCAGACTCTTGCACCATTTGCATAGGGACTGAAAGCCCTATAACAGCAAACCCCCATTTGCATATTCACAGAGCAACCCGCAGAGGGTATCCTGGGGGCGTGGCCAAATGCCTTCTCCAAGTCCATACGACACAAGTAGGCTGGTTGGGCAAACTTCCATGACCCCTCAGGAACCCTAGCAAGGCTAACTCAGTGTCCATGCCTAGGATGGAACCTGCATGCTTCCTCCTAAAACCAAGGTTCAACCATCAACCTCAGACCGCCCACTGTACTGGGGAGACTGAGGAGTGTGATTCCATTTTTGAAGAAATAGAGTTGAATTCTGACTGACTTAATGAGCTAATCAGAGCAACACCAAAGTGGATTGCTCCAGTTTTAAAACAACTGCATTCTCAAAGGTTTTGAGGAGTTCGTGCAAATAAATCCTTTATTTGTTGACAGTTTTTCATTACATTATTCTGGCAGAAATAACGTATTCCTGCAGGCAGTTCCCCAGGCTGCTCTAGAATTGCTACAACTTGTTTCCTCTGCCAGTATTAGTCATAGTAAAATTCTGAATAATTTTACACAAATAACCAGGTAATGCAAAACTGACAACAATGTAAAGATTTATGCAATAGTGTGCAAAATCTAATAACCTTTTGTTAGTTGTAAGTAGTAGTTAGTAGCAATCATTTTGATCCAAATGGACTAGCCATCAGCTCGTCAATCCAGTCAGAATTTAACCTTTTTATTAAAGTAGAGGTTGTTCAAACGGCAATCTACAGCAGGTAAGATATTATTATATGTTTATCAACTTTCAACAGATCCCCACCATCATTTCTATAATGAACCTGCTTGTATCAGAGTGAGGCCTTCTTCAGTTGGCTGCGGGATAGAGGAAGAGGAAGTCATAACCTGGACATTTACATGCAGATTTGTCTGGAGCTGAATAAAGGTAGAGTGGAGGTGTACAGACCGAGTTATAGTAATATTTTTTTTTACTTTTGAATTTAGGAGACCAAGGTGAGGCCGGAGAGGTTGGGGAGCAGGGCAAACTGGGGAAGACTGGACCACCAGGGCATTCAGGTAAAAAATAAAGTTTATTAAATTATTTATCCATTGATGGTTGACTGAATGTCACAATTCAAAGCAAGTCTTTTAATTTTGTTTTCAGTTATTTCTCTTTACTTTTTGGTAAAGTTGGTAAAATTAAACAACTGATTCATTAAAATGAGCAACACTTTAAAAACTCACCATTTTTCTAAAGAAAATGTGATGTCATTTTCAGCTGCGGTGCTACAAAAATAGCTCATGGAAACTCACTTCTCGGTTTAGAATAGACTTCATTTTGAATAAATGTAAATGTGTAACCCTGTGACGCATTAAACTCAGAAAATCCTGTTTCACTGTTCAACAACACGTCTGCAACATTAAAGGTTCTGAACAGTCAGGATGAACAAAAAGAAGGTCATCTGGTGGAATTGACTGGCTTTAGTTTATTGTGCTTCACATTGACAAATAAAATCATCACATAAATACAAAAAAAATCTGATGTAAAGGTTTTAAGCTTCAAAGACAAACAGGAGCACTCTACTCATGTATTAAACTTTGTCTCAACTCTGAAGATTATATAAAACAAAACAAAGAGACAGACAGACCAATGAACGACAAAGACCTGTGAACTCCTGCCCTCACCCACATTCTGTTGTTAGCCAACCAGTAGCACATTTAAAAGGGAATAGAGAAGGTTTACATTTTTTTAATCCTACGGTTTTACCAGGTCCTGAAAATATTCAAATTTGACCTCAGATATGCAAAAAACACACAACAGGTTCCATTATGTCATCTGTGTGGTAAACAAAGACAAATCCAAAATAGAAAATGTGAAAAAACAAAGTCCAACCTTGCTGCTTTCATAGGATTTAACTCTCCTGATGCCCCGGCCATTTTGGTAACAGGAGGAAAAATATCAACCAGGTCAAACAGACTTCCTTCACTTATCTTCATCAATGTTGGCGCCTCTATAAATGCAGGAGTTTTAGAGGTTTGCTGCCCTGGAACACACAGTTAACACAATGCCAGGTAGGAAAGGCATCAGCAATGACCTTAGAGAAGGAACCGCTGTCGCACATCAATCTGGGAAGAGTTAAAGGTCGTTTCCAAAGAATTTAGAGTTCATCGTTCTACAGAGAGGAAGATGATTCACAACTGGAAAACATTTAGCATAGTTCACATTTTATTAAATTCACCCCAAAGTCAGACTGTGCAATGATCAAAAACATTGCAAAAAACCCAAGAGTGCCATCACAGACACTTAAAGGTCTCAGTTTGCAGGTCAAATATTAAAGTTTATGACAGAAAAATTAAAGAGGAAAATATGGATTAAATTTGAGTTGTTTGAAAGAGTTGTCAGGAGAACAACTCTACTCTCTAAAACCAAAGTGGCAGCTTGACTTCAACTTGTAAAGTCTCATCTGGAACAACACCATTTGGACAGACAAGACCAAAGAAAAGATATTTTCCCATAATGCAGAGCAGAAAAGCTCAAACACCTCATGCCAAATGTCAGCACAGTGATGGTTTGGGCATTTTGGCGCCATTGAGTCGATCATGAACTCCTATGTAGATCAAAGAATACTAGAATCAAATATGACGCCATCTGCCCATCTGCAAAACTTGGATCAAACTGGGTCGTGATGCAAAAGGACAGTGATCCCAAACACATCAGCAAATCTACAACACAACAGCTAAGAAAGAAAAGAGTCAAGGTGGTACAATGGTCCAGTCAAAGTCCAGAACTCAGCTTGGTTGACAGGCTGGTTGCAGAGCACTAACAACCCACTTAGCAAAACTTGTCACACATTGCACAGATGTAGTTTGCCAGAGGTGGTCCATGCATGGGCCAGCACCACATAAACCCTACCACAATCGGGCCAGTTGTGGCACACCATCTTAAAAACAAGGCTGTCAGTGCCAGACCTGACCCGCATCCGGTTGACAAACCACTCACCATCAGTCAGCCAGCAGTGCCAGCTTGACACCAGATTCCTCCACAAGTCATTTCAATCATTTTAAAACCTGATATGAATCAGATTATAAATATTATATTCTGATGCGTAAAACTCTAGATGAACGTCCTTTATTCCACGACTCCGTTCACACACAGATACGTGAGATATGATGAACAGATGATGCTCAACAGTAAAAAACACTGTTTTTCTTTGTAAGGAAAAAAACAACTGCTGCTTCCTGGCTGCCTTCCTTTTTTTCTCTCTCTCTCTCTTTCCGCAGTTGTTCAAAAACTTCACACAACGGCACACATGCCCACAATTTCATTTACACAAGACAACACAATTCTCTCATCACGCCTGAAACAAACAACCGGGGACTGTCGTCACTATCCAAACAGAGCAGGCATGTACCGTATATGTAAACCTCTTTCAACTTTTCAACTCTCGCAGACATCGTTCGAATGTATAACAAAGCCAGTCATTATGGTTTTTCGGCCTGTGTGCTTGCTGACAGGCATGAACGCAGGTCCCTGCAATGATTTTGTTACCGTAGCATGTCGGCTGCTCAACAGATGACGCATGAGTTCCCAGTCTTCAATGGAGGCAGCGTTACAGGAAACAGTTGTTTAACTTTGGAACCTTAAAAAAGGAATTCATGAATCTCATTGGGCAAAAAATATATATATTTATAGTCATTTCTACAAACCTTGTAACATCAACACACTTAGCTGCGCTTTGATGAGTGCTGCTACACAAGTTTCGGTTTGTTTAGTCAAAAGGAAAGCGAGGCCTTTGGAACACGAGCTCATTTTTACTGAGAAAATAATATTTAATGAATGATCTCATTAAAGTTCCACTTAGTGTTGTTTATTTTTGCTCTCGGAGTGTTTCTGAGGTAGCGTTGAGTTGTTAAAATGTGTCTCCGCTTCCATGTTTCAGTGAAAAACGTGGCCTTCACCCCCCCGATCCTCCGGCAGCTGGAGAATCCAGTCGTTAAACCAGTTGGAGGTGTTGGCCACTATAAAATGGGGGCTGCAGTGATATGGCGGGTTGTTATCTAGATACTTGGATGGATCGTTTAACTGGCGAGCGAACGCGCTGGCAAAACAACATTAATCAGCTGTTACACACACACACACACACACACACACACACACACACACACACACACACACACACACACACACACACACGCACGCACTGAGAGTATGAAAAGAGAGCAATACAAAATCCCTTTTCTTCCTGAAACACAAAACAAACTCGTCTATAATCACTTCTCACGGCGGATTCTCGGGACAGCACTGTTCAAATATTGACTTTTGTGAGAGTGCTCCTTAAATACTCTCAGAGAAGATTCCTGAAAAATTACCATCAGATTGCTGTGAAATTTCCCAAAGACCAGAACGTTGTGGACCGCACACAATCCACAAGACCTGACACCTTCTGCCAAACACTTCTCACAAATCACAGAGAAGAAAACCCAACATGGGCCAATGGGAATGAGGGATAAGTAGTCAGTGTGTGTCTGAGTGTGTACTTCATGACTCCCATTGGGAACTTATCCCAACCGTACTGGGACCAGGGCATTAGTAGAAGTCTGGTGATGGTGAAGATTAAATTCTGGTTATAGCCCCTCTGCCAAAGCCTGGACAGTTTGGTTTGTGTGTCAGCATGTGTGTTCTACTGTGTTAGCTAAAACACTAACACAATTGAGAAACACCTTGGGATATCCCACAACGTTGCACAAAATGTTATTTTCAAGCTTTGACTAAAGCAGCTACTAAAGCCCGCCATTTTTCAACAGATAAGAAGATATTAGGTATGAATTGGTGACAGTTCAGGTTAATGTTTATCTCTAATATAGCCACAATAAATATAAATTAGTTTAAAATCCTCCATAGCTGTAGGCTGTGTGTGTGTGTGTGTGTGTGTGTGTGTGTGTGTGTGTGTGTGTG